TATATATACTCTGTTCCAAAGCATCAGTGCAATTTTCAAAGTTTTATTTGATTGAGTGAGAGGATTTTTTATTTTTTATTTTTATTTTTAAAGGTAGCTCTGCTGCTAAATGTCCTGTTTAAATAATTCCACAGCCAAAGCAACTTGCTGAACCAGTTAAGTGCCGTTTTCGAAGAACCTGTGGGCAATTTGTGTATACCAGTCTGATTTGACTCCGGTGTCATTTAACAACATTAATTCCGTCTTAGTTTATTATCCGAATATGATGAACTGTATCAGTGGGTCTTAACCAGATACAATGCTGAATAATTTTTTTTAGTGTTATTTCATGCTGATGATACGCAGTATTTATATGATGCACAGTTGTACAACAAGATACAGAATAAACCATAACCATAAGTTAAGTGTGATTGCAGAGTTGGCATGTTTGAAATTGGTTGAAATATGTAGCACATTACTTTATTACAACTGGTAATTTAAGTATTCACTTCCCTATGTGTGATGTGTAAAGTACCTAAATAACACCTATATGTGAGACATTCTTAGATTCTAATGTTAGAGATCCTGCAACTGCCGTTGGGCTGTGCAGGGCTCTTTCTCTTCTGGAGGATGATTGAATAAAGAATTATAAATGTTTTGACCACTATGAGTCGGGTTTTCTCTGTTCTATCATGGGGATCAAAGAATCTAGTTTTAATACAAGACAGATCATCTAAATGTGGTTTGCCTAGAATGCTTCACTAGTGATGACTCTGGTGGCGAACTGTCTGCCAGAGATGGCCTCATTTGCTTAAATTTCAGACAATGTAATTGTATGGTGCAGAGTAACTCTGAAGCATAATTTTTAAAGGTAGATTTAAGTGTGAGCCCAGCATATTTGTTGCTGTTTAGTCTGTGCACAATCTTAAACTGGACTCTAAAGCAAATGTCTTTTTTTTTTTCTTCATTTGAAACTGTGATCACTGCTAATGCTGTGTTTAAAGCATTTAATGCATCACTTTGTCATCATGAGTGACACGTATGCTCATATGTCTTGTATCAGTCATTTAAGTTCGGTTTGTCTCTTAGTGCAAACCTCGATGCAAAGCAAGTCACACTCTCTCTCATACTTAAATATTAGCTAATCTGTGCTTGTCTGTGTGCAGGTGTACTTGTTAAATCCTATAGAGAACCTGAGAAGCTACATCAACAACCGTCCACCTCTGGTCATTTTTATGATCAGTGTAAGTGCAGTGGCCATCGCCTTCCTGACCATCGGTTATTTCTTTAAGATTAAAGAGATCAAGTCTCCAGAGTTAACCGAGGTAAGGCACACCCGTGCAGTTTTTTGAAGTAGATGAAATTATGTGGTCCTAAAACGGTAAAGTGTGATCACTGCTAATGCTGAATGTCAGGTGGTGGCCTTTGTTGCCTGCTTTATAACTAAAGGGTGCATTTTTTTTCTTTTATTTAAAACCATGCTTCAACTGCACTACAGGATGTAAGGCTGAGAACAGCTTTCTTGTAGGATAAAGTGGGA